CTTTTCCTTCATTTCCTTCTTCCTCTTCTGCTGTCTGATAATCTTTGCTGTAGTTTTCCATCTATGCCATTTTCTTTCACACGTGATTGATCACGTGAAAGAAAATGGTTTAAATGTAGAACTATGATACCTTGAACACTGGCGTAGGCACTTAACAATGATTGGAAAACTTCCCCTTGTCGCAAGTCGCTACAATGATGAATAAAGCTTCCCTAGTCGCAAGACGCTACAATGATCGGTAAAGCTCCCACAGTCGCAAGACGCCAAGGACAGATGACATTTCGTTCGGATTTTTAACCCTGGAGGGTTAGCCACCCTGTATAACCCAAGAAAGTCAGCATGTCATCGAGGGACTGTCTAATATATATTTGTGAGACTGACCTTAAAAACATAATTGTCATTATCATATTTTGCCTGCTGGGCATATCAGTCTCTCCCTGGATGACTGCCATCATTGTACTCTGCTGTACAGTTAAGTAGTACTATCTGAGCGGCTAATTTATCATACACCCGCAGCTCATCCTGTGAGCAGATTTAGATTTTGTCACCAAAGTGGCTAGTTTATTGTGCCCTCATATCCATCCTGTGGATGGTAGCGTAAGAGCATATGGATACACAAAAGGGGTTAACAGGTGTATATATGGGTTTTTATTTATCTACATATCTAAAGTTCACTTATCTGTTACATGCAAATTTAGGAAATTTGCTTAGTATATCTGGTATCTTATTTTCATTAACCCCTCAAGGAAGGTTCCTTGATGTTGGTGAGGGGCTCTTGATTTAGGGAATTGGATCAGTGCTCCAGTTCCCCGAATTAAGCCTGAATGCCTTCCACATCCCCCCCCCCAGGCGCTGTATAATCCTCCGGGTTTAGCGCTTCCCCCTTGATTATAATAATAATAATTATTTTCATTAATAAGATATCTTGCAAGTTTAGACATATGTGCAACATCTGGATATCTGTATTGATAAAGCCATCCAGTGGCTTTATCAATACAGATTCTAGGACATAATTAGAAGACAGTAGAACTATATACAAAAGATGAGGTAATTCAGTCCCTCAGCCTTGGAGTTGGTGTTCACAGCATCGTGGTGGAGGAGAATCTGGAGCAAAGGCGAACGAACGAAAAAGTTCGGGTAAGATCCCAATAGGATGAGCGGGGAAGACAGGACATCTGTGGTATGAGGAGGCTCCTGGGAGTATGAACATAATTGACATAAATTGCAGTTGCAGGAATACTGCTTATCGAGACGATGTTTCGAGAGTGCAATATGCTTTTTTCTAGCCTGTAGAATATAACTCACGAAATCGTAATGACACGATTGCTAACTAACCATACCACGGGCCGAGTTAGAACCCGCAATCGTGGGTTCTAACCCCGCCCGTGGTATGGTCTATAGAATATACCCGGGAAAAGGAGAAGTGTAGTGTGTGGACATTAGCATTTACGCAATGACTAACCTGCCTGTGGCTCGGAAGAGAATACATAAAACGTAAAATATGGAGGCGAAAAAAATAGATCAAAGTCGGAGTCGCTACAATGAACTGGAACACCTCACTATTTTTCCGCTTTGTGAATTTCCATAGTTGGTCTGGGACGCCGGTTATTGACGTATATGGAGGCTGGGCGTCTTGTTCTACCGTGTTCAGTCGTGGGAACCACCTAGGCCTGGCCTGGTGGCTAAAGGGGGCTGTAGGGTAAGTTGCCCTAACTCGTTTATTTACCGTCCGATTTTGTTCAGTTTTGGTACACAAGACAAAGTGTTCTCACTCTTTCTTGAAAATATTTATCAAAAATATACCTCAAACAACAACTGAGAAAAGACTGATTTACTGAAATTGCCCTTGGGGCAATACTTCATTCTTATATGGGACTACGTAAGGTGGTTTGGACACTTGGTGCCGAGAGTACAATGCTAATACTTATTTTGACCGATTGATTTCCTCTAAATACCTTACCGTTATTTCACAAAAAATAAAGTTTGTTAGTTCTGGAATATTGCAAAAAAAAATCTGCCCTTTACTCCCACATAACTCCCAAAGTATTTGGAATATTTTCAAAAACTCAACGGTCAAAATAAGAGAAATCATTATTCTACAATGTCTGTGAATATTATTCCATTTAATTAAGTAATAAAGGAATTATTTGTTGCCCTAGGTGAATAAGTTACTTCCGAGATATCGGCCGGGAATGCCGGCCGGCCCCCGTCTCAAAAAAAAAAAAAAATTTTTTTTCGCGAAAATCGCGTTTGTTTGGGTGTATTTCTTAGTAAACTGATGTTCTAGTGCAGTTATCCTCTAAACACCGTTTTCTCTTACTCAGAGACTAAAGAATGGGACATGACTCAATATTTATCGAAATATTCCCGATAATCTTTCGTCATATTATGGCCTATTTTATTCAGCCTAGAGTATATAACATGTTTGTATGTTATTTAGAGTGTTTATTATATCATATTAGATCAATTCTGATAGATAAATAAGCCGTAGAGTTGATATATAAGCTGATATAAGCGTAATAATTGGCGATTCCTGGCTGGCACCTCGAGCGGTGGCACACTGCTGAGCGTTCCCATCTGGTTCCCGGCAGTCACTAAGTCTCGGGATAAGTCCCGCCTACTGTTTTATGATGCCAAATAGTCAGTTATTATATTAGAAAGAATAATGCAAGAAAAGGCGATAAAAAACAAGAAAATAACTCCAAAAAATATATAGGCCGTGAGCAGACTCGGTACCAACATCGCCGTCACCATACCTGATATAAATGACTATAATTTCTTGTAGAAACGTCGTAGAACATTCATTCGGGTCCCATTGTTTTTCCAAAGAGTTGAGTTTTTTTTTCAGTATATTAACTCAATATCCATTTTTTTCGTTTTTTTTGGGTAGGGGCCGCGGGGAAAAAATTCCCCAAACAGCCCCCTAAAGCTCTCGCTTCACACGGCGAGGGCCCGGGGTTCAAACCCCAGCCAGGGTAAAACTTTGGGAGGTTTTTTTCTTTACCCCGGGTTTGGGTAGGATGGTTCCGGGTAGGTTGCTAGGGTTCCCCCCATCAGAAAACTGGGTTTACCGGGGGTTTAGTGGACTGGGGGTGGGTCGCACCCTTTGGGACAAAATTGCCTAATTTGCAGGAAATGCTCAGCAAAACAAGCTCCCTTTCTATATAATCGTATGTCATTTGATGTCAGCTATGGTCCTTTTTTTTTTTTTTAAAAAAAAAAATTTTTTTTTTTTTTTGGGGGGCCATTTTTGGTTCCTTTTTTTTAAAAAAAATTTTTTTTTTTAACCGGGAAAAAAAAGGGGGGGGGAAAAAGAAAGAAAAAAATTTTAAAAAGGAAAAATTTGGGTTTTTTTTAAAAATTTGGGAAAAAAGGGGGTTTCCAAACAAAAAACAAGGAAAAATTAAAACCCCTTTTAAAAACCCCCCCCCCGGTTAAAACCCCCCCTTTTAAAAAACCCGGGGGCCCCCCCCCCCAATTTTTTGGACCCAAGGCTAACCCAAACCCCCCCCACCTTTTTTCCCCCTTTTTTTTTTCCCTTTTTTTCCCCCTTTTGGGGCCCTTTTTAAAAAAAAATTTTTAAAAATTTTTTTTTTGGGTTGGGTTTTTCCCCTTCCCCGGGGGGTCCCCCTTTTTTTTTTAAAAAAAAAAAAAAATTTTTTCCCTTTTAAAAAACCCCCCCCAAAATTTTTTAAAAAGGTTTCCCCCCAAATTCCCCAAAAGGGGAAAAACCCCGGGCCCCCCCCCCCTTTTTCCCTTTTAAAAAAAACCAAAAAAAAAAAAAAACCCAAAAAATTTTTCCCAAAAAGGGGATTTAAAAATTTTTTTTTTAGTTTTTTTAAAAAAATTTTTTTTTGGGGAAAATTGGAAATTTTTTTCCCTTTTAAAAAAAATTTTTTCCTTTTCCCTTTAAAAAAATTTTTTTGGGGTTTTTTTTTTTTTTAAAAAAAAAAACCCCCCCCCAAACCCCCCAAATTTTTTTTCCCCACCCCCTTTTTTCCCCCCTGGGGAAAAGCCTTCCCCCCTTAATTAACCTTTTTAAAAATGCAGGAAGATGGTTTAACGCCAATTAAAGAGTCAGGGTCGGGCCCCCTTTGAAAACGCCCAACTGGACAAGTCCATACAAAGGATAAACTTGAAAACGGAGGAGAATAAAGAAATCAGCCCCTCACCCTTGAGTCGATGTGGTCAGTCCATCAATCTTGAATAGAATACGGCAAAGGAGCGTATTCCTTTGCCGTATTCTATTCAAGTTTGATGGACTGACCACATCGACTCAAGGCTGAGGGACTGATTACTTCATTCTCCCCCTGTTCTTCAAGTTTATCCTTTGTATGGACTGATGAAGCCACTGTGTGGCGAAACGTTTCCTCTATAAAGATACCCAAGAGTTGCACATGTGTCTAATTTAAATTCAGGTGAGAGTGTAGGTGTCCTGCTCTGCTGGGGCTCAGGCAAGAGAATCCACCTGACGTGATTGGGAACTTTTAGGTTCATGCTTCTATTTGCAAAGGGAACGGTAGTTCCCTTTGCAAATAGAAGCTAGCACGAACACCCCTAACTAGGCCTATTCCTACTGGCTTAACTCTCCCCATAATGCTGACCCATAGGTTACCAGGAACACCCCTAAATAGACCTATCCCTACTGGCTTAAATTTCCCATGAATTTAACACTGACCCAAAAGCCAACAGAAACAACCCTAAATAGGTCTATTCCTATAATACTGTATATGATAAAAGTGAGTATGACCTATAGGACAATTTGTTATTATTATAGTCCGTACGGTTTTAGCACTTCCCTGAGTGTTAAAATAATCTGCCCTTCATGTAGGGTACTAGTGGTAAAATAATACCACTAGCACTCTAGTGGTAAGAGTGGTGGTGTAGTAGTGCCATCTAGTGGTGGTAGTCAGAGTTAGTCATGTTATCAGTGAGGGTGTTATAATGAAGGTCAGGACAGTGACCAACCTTAAGGTCACTAAAAGTCAGTTAACCTTCAGTGGTCGTACAAGAGAGACGTGATGCTCCTCCTCCTGCCGCCCCGCCGGTTTTACTGCTTCTTCAGCCTCAATACACCTAAATAAAGTAAGTATTGTCTGTTGACGTGTTTGTAAGTACAACAGCAGAGTTGAGCTGCAGCTCCTGGTCCCTGCCACCAGTTTGCTCACTGTTTTAATAATTTTCTTTGGGGCCTGATGTCTTGGAAGGAGGGTAATTGACCTCAGTGGAAGGGTTTTGATGCGAGGACCCCTCAAGGAAGGTTCCTTGATGTTGGTGAGGGGCTCTTGATTTAGGGAATTAGATCTGTGCTCCAGTTCCCCGAATTAAGCCTGAATGCCTTCCACATCCCCCCCCCAGGCGCTGTATAATCCTCCGGGTTTAGCGCTTCCCCCTTGATTATAATAATAATAATAATAATTGATGCGAGGAACTGGAGCTCCTCCCCTTCCTCTGATCAAACGATAACTCGCACACTAGGCGTTACATAACCCATAATGGTATATGTAGTTCTGGGCTATTTTTTTCCATTATTGAAAGATAACTTAGTGAAGATCTCTTGATCCAAGTCCTCTTCAAGGGGGGCTCCGTGGCGTGGTGAAGAGGCCCTTGGTCTGTGGAATTAGACCTGTTGGTCTCCTTCCTCAGACCGAACCTAATTACCCCCCAATCCCCCCTTCTCTATCTCATCTTCCCCATCCTCCCCTTTTTTTCTTTCCTCCTCCTCTTCCCCACCCCTCCGTTTTGCCCTTCCTCTTTTTGGCCTTTGGGATTTTTTCCACCAAGTCATAACCGATATAAGCTGGGAAGATATACTAAGCAACTTATGCCTAGAACAGATTAACTCGGTGGCACTCGATGTATGCACAAGGCTTATTCCTCTAAGAAAAAGGAGGAGTAGATGTAAAATAGAAAGAGACAGGTGCTCCCTTTACAGGCGATGGAAAAGAATAACAGAGCGGCTAAAAGAGGTCAATATATCTGAAAGCGTAGGGAGTCACTGGTCAGAGAAATAACAAGCATTGAACTTAAGCTAAAGGAATCTTATAGGAGTCAGGAATCGTGGGAAGAACTAAAAGCCGTAAATGAAATCTAAAGAAACCCAAAGTATTTTTTCTATACCAAATCAAAGTCGAGAACAACGTCCAGTATTGGGCCCCTACTTAAACAAGATGGGTCCTACACAGATGACAGCAATGAAATGAGTGAGCTACTCAAGTCCCAGTATGACTCGGTTTTTAGCAAGCCGCTAACCAGACTGAGAGTCGAAGATCAAAATGAATTTTTTATGAGAGCCACAGAATTTGGTTAACACAAGCCTATCTGATGTTATCCTGACACCAAATGACTTTGAACAGGCGATAAATGACATGCCCATGCAGGGCCAGATTAAGAAGTCTCCAGGCCCTAGGCTATTCAGACTGGCGGGGCCCCTTTGAGTTATGGGTAAGCGAAGCGACCCCTTCCAGCTTGGGGGGGGGGTGGTGTGAGCCTGTTTTAGGTCTAATTAAATAAACTCTGGCTATTTAGATTAAATTTAATAGGGAAAGTACAAGACAACCAAAACCATACACATCAATGTCTGTCAACAACACTTCAGTTAATTTGTCGCAGTACAAGTCAAGATAACGTGTAATTACTACAGAAAATTGGAGAGGAATCTCCCATACTCGCCCATTAGCGGGAAAACACAGCTGTTCTGATGTAAACAAAGGCGTGTTGAGTGTTGCCATCTATGGTTAGGTTCATTTATTTTTATTTTATTTTATTTCATTATTTTTGTTTTGATTAATTTTTAAAAATAAATTTTACTCTCCAAACACTTGAACTTTTTAGGTAGGGACCCCTTTGCACTTGCACCATGTGCGCAGTCTTGGATGAGCCCCTGAACCCCTTGGACCGCGGGGCCCCCAAATGTGCGGGGCCCTAGGCAAATGCCTAGTTTGCCTATGCGGTAATCTGGCCCTGTGCCCATGCACTCTTCCACAGGGTCAGACTCAGGGAACTCCGTGTTCATCAAGAACTGCAAGAAGCCCCTATCACAAGCTTTTACCATCCTATGGAACATAAGAACATAAGAAAAGAGGAACACTGCAGCAAGCCTGTTGGCCCATACTAGGCAGGTCCTTTACAATTCATCCCACTAACAAACATTTGTCCAACCCAATTTTCAATGCCACCCAAGAAACAAGCTCCGATGTGCAAGTCCCTCTCAAATCCAACATGTACTTATCCAACCTAAACTTGAAACTACCCAAAGTCCTAGCCTCAATAACCCAACTAGGTAGACTGTTCCACTCATCAACTACCCTATTTCCAAACCAATACTTTCCTATGTCCTTTCTAAATCTAAACTTATCTAATTTAAATCCATTACTGCAGGTTCTCTCTTGGAGAGATATCCTCAAGACCTTGTTAATATCCCCTTTATTAATACCTATCTTCCACTTATACACTTCGATCAGGTCTCCCCTCATTCTTCGTCTAACAAGTGAATGTAACTTAAGAGTCTTCCATCTTTCTTCATAAGGAAGATTTCTAATGTTATGTATTAATTTAGTCATCCTACGCTGAATGTTTTCTAACGAATTTATGTCCATTCTGTAATATGGAGAGGGAGCATGGACACGGGGGTCATCCCACAGTTACTAAAAACAACAGACATAGCTCCACTCCACAAAGGGGGCAGTAAAGCAATAGCAAAGAACTACAGACCGATACCACTAACGTCCCATATCATAAAAATCTCTGAAAGGGTCCTAAGAAGCAAGATCACCACCCATCTAGAAACCCATCAATTACACAACCCAGGGCAACATGGGTTTAGAACAGGTCGCTCCTGTCTGTCTCAACTATTGGATCACTATGGCAAGGTCCTAGATGCACTAGAAGACAAAAAGAATGTAGATGTAATATATACAGACTTTGCAAAAGCCTTCAACAAGTGTGACCATGGCATTATAGCGCACAAAATGCATGCTAAAGGAATAACAGGAAAAGTTGGTCGATGGATCTATAATTTCCTCACTAACAGAACACAGAGTAGTAGTAGTCAACAAAGGAAAGTCCGAGGCAGCTACGGTGAAAAGCTCTGTTCCACAAGGCACAGTACTCGCTCCCATCTTGTTCCTCATCCTCATATCTGACATAGACAAGGATGTCAGCCACAGCACCGTGTCTTCCTTTGCAGATGACACCCGAATCTGCATGACAGTGTCTTCCATTGCAGACACTGCAAGGCTCCAGGCGGACATCAACCAAATCTTTCAGTGGGCTGCAGAAAACAATATGAAGTTCAACAATGAGAAATTTCAATTACTCAGATATGGTAAACACGAGAAAATTAAATTTTCATCAGAGTACAAAATAAATTCTGGCCACAAAATAGATCGAAACATCAATGTCAAAGACCTGGGAGTGATCATGTCGGAGGATCTCATCTTCAAGGACCATAACATTGTATCAATCGCATCTGCTAGAAAAATGACAGGATGGATAATGAGAACCTTCAAAACTAGGGATGCCAAGCCCATGATGGCACTCTTCAGGTCACTTGTTCTATCTAAGCTGGAATATTGCTGCACACTAACAGCACCTTTCAAGGCAGGTGAAATTGCTGACCTTGAAAATGTACAGAGAACCTTCACGGCACACATAACGGAGATAAAACACCTCAATTACTGGGAGTGCTTGAGGTTCCTGAACCTGTATTCCCTGGAATGCAGGTGGGAGAGATACATGATTATATACACCTGGAAAATCCTAGAGGGACTAGTACCGAACTTGCACACGAAAATCACTCTCTACGAAAGCAAAAGACTTGGCAGACGATGCAACATCCCCCCAGTGAAAATCAGGGGTGTCACTAGCAAGTTAAGAGATCATACAATAAGTGTCAAACTGCCTCCCAGCATACATAAGGGGGATTACCAGCAGACCCCTGGCAGTCTTCAAGCTGGCACTGGACAAGCACCTGACCAGCCGGGCTGTGGCTCGTGCGTTGATTTGCGTGCAGCCAGCAGTAACAGCCTGGTTGATCAGGCTCTGATCCACCAGGAGGCTTGGTCACAGACCGGGCCGCGGGGGCGTTGACCCCCGGAACACTCTCCAGGTAAACTCCAGGTAAACTACTACTCCCCATCCCTCCGTTTTCCCCTTCCTCTTTTTGGCCTTTGGGATTTTTCCCACAGGCGCGCTAGTTCCTAGGTAGGGGAAAGGGTACCGAGGTCCATCCCATTCCTTTGAGGTTCTTGTCCATTGAGGTTCTTGGCTGTGGCGTAGTTTGCCGTGGAATCTGGATTGCCTGGGGACATCCCGATCCTTCTCCGGTATCCCAGAGTGTGGCTTTGGGTGTCTTTCGGGTGACGGGTGTATCTCTCGAAGCCACCTTTCGGATTCCGGGGGTGGTGGCCGAAGGAGGTATGCTTTGTGGCAGATATCCGGCTGCCCTCTCTTTTGTCCACTGAGGTAGCTCGGCAGATATGAGGTTGCTATCCTGGATTGCTGGTTTACTGGCACGAAGGGTAGGGTATGGCACAGGTTCCATGCTGCATCTGCGCTACTAGCGGTGCTGAGGTCCTCTTGGGTGCGGAGGGAGATTTCCGACCCTTTCATTCCTCCTAGGAACTATTCCTCCCCGCTCCCCCCCTTTTTTTTCTTTTTTTTATTTTTATTTTCTTAAAAACAAAAAGTAAAGGAGTAACCTAACCATGGAGAACCCAATCCATGAACCTACAACCCCCGGGCCCCTTCTTGATACCACACCCACCCTGCCTTGTTTTTTGACCACTCCTCGGACACTCCTGATGCCCCTGTACCTCTTGCTGGTGCTGTTTCCTCACCCGCTTCAGGTACTGGGGCTTCCACTGACTCTTTCGATTTGTCTGACCTCCGCTCTCCTTTGACTATGCTTCCAGCCTCTCCCTCTATGGTATGGCAATTTTCGAATCGCCAGCCTGTTTCACGTTGGACCAACTCCGGTCCTACTACTAAACGTCAACGACAATCTCCTGATGTTTCTTCGTTACCTTCCCATTCTACTCGGAAAAGACTGACACATCATGCACTCCCTCTCCACACTCAGTTTC